CTCCTTGCACGAAGACACACAATTACTGGTTTGTTTCACAGTGATACTTTTTCCTTTGTTTGTTTTTAATTCTTTTTTCATATGTATTTTTGAGGAAATACAACTGTCACAGTAATAAACACACATCACCTTGTACAATGGGAGCGGCTGAAGAAACGATGGAGGCTGGGCAGCTCCGCTTGCACAGCGGTAAGCGTGGCCTCAGCCTGGTCACAAGCACAACACTCATCACGCATCCCCGGTTGTCACCTTTCTATCTCGCCTAAAGCGCCGTCTGTGTCGGCTCCATCTGAACAGAGTTGCGCTCCTCCGTGGTCACTGTGCCGTAAGAAGTATCAGCCACCTCCTCCTCCTTCAGTTTCTTGTAGGAAATATCCGTGTCTTCCTCTTCACCCAGCGTATCTTGTTTGTAGCTGTCTCTCCCATACATCTTGTATATCAGCACAAAGAGTCCCGCTTCTGCCGACTGAAAAAGCGCATAAAGCAAGGGAAACATGTACATGCTCCCAATGAGCTCCGGGGGGAAGGTGAGTTTTAGGATGGCGGTGCAGAGCTGGACATTTTGGCACCCTGTTTCCAACGACACTGTTCTCCTGCAGTGTGGGGGCATTTTAAAGACCGTGGCTAAGCCGTATCCCAAGGCATACCCCGCTAGAGGCATCAGCACCGCAATGGCATAGACAGATGCAGGAATATGTGCCATCAGATCTGGGCCCAGCATGGTCCCGGTCAGAATGAACAGGATCACCAGAGTCACCAAGAGGGACCACAAGGAAATCTGGTAACAGATACAGACATTGATAAACAACACGTGGGTTATTAGTTTAAAAGGATAAGCATAGCAGGTAGAAGCTTTATAGACAGTCTAAACTGCAAACTGTGGTTGCCTTGCCCTTCCTGAGTTTGTTCCTGGCTCGGGACTTTGGTGGTGTTTGATCATATCCTGGGAAAGGAAGGGGCTGAGATCGCTCTCTATCATTTTGCTTTGGGGTGACTTGCTTGGGAAACTAGGGAGCCAGCGCTTGTGCCTCACTTTTCCTTTCATAATTAAGCTCATTTGTTTGTATGTTTTAAGGAAGTGTCCCCATGCCTGTGGGTTGGTTTTGGTAGCCCTGGGAATAGCGGGAATGGGGAGAGAGCAGGATGCCAGGGAATGCCTCTGCTCCAGGGCCCAGACTGCCTCCCGGGGTGCAGTGCTGCACTGCCCTCCTTCCCGTGCACTGGGGGGGTAACCTGCCCTTCCCTTTGCTTTCTGTCTCCCTCCCAGCGGTTTATGTCACGACTATAAGCCCTTATATTTCACCTGAGTAGTGGAATATGCTTGTGTGAAGCTACCATCCGTTCGGAGGGACCAGAA